GCAATCTCCGGCACGCCAAACCCATCCATCCTCCATTCTTTTCTTACCTCGCCTTCGAGCCTCCATCTTCCATGCTCGTCTCTTTCTCGCACATGGCTTACACCAACACTTTTCTTCTTTTGCTTTTGCCTTGTGTTTCCTTCGGGCTCGTTTGGTCTTGCTCCTCCTAGGCTTGAGCTTAGCTCGTGGACCACATCCTTTTGGCCAATCCCTCTTACATGATGGCCGGTAAATAGGACTAGACGGCTCCTCCAACATATTTTCCAACCAAATATCAAGACCATCGCCATCATCATCGTTGGACTCACCGGGGTTGATGACCACTTCCGTATCACGTCTGTCTCACGCGCCGGCGCGTGAGGGCGCGTGTGTGGCCGGAAAATTTTCCGGCGAACGTCTGTCTGCTCGGAATTTCTCAGGCTTTCCGTCGGTATTCTCAGTTTCAGGTTTCGGTGTCTCCTTGCTGTTCAGGTTGAATTTTTTTTTTAATTTCAGCCCTTTGTTATCGATTCATTTGCTCGACACAACCTTGTTCTTATGGCTGCGAATAAAATTGTGTCTGAAATCATCCCTATTATGAACAAAATCACCGATGTTAAATTAAATGGTTCTAATTTTCTTGGTTGGAGTAAAACTATTATCGTCCACCTCCGTAGTATTGACAAGGACGATCACTTGGATTCGGATCCTCCCACTGATGATGTCAAAAATGATACTCGTCGGGCGTGGTTACGTGATGATGCAAAATTGCTTGTTCAAATTCGAAACTCCATCGAGCCCGATATACTCTCTTTGGTCAATCATTGTGAATTTGTCAAAGAATTGATTGATTATCTAACCTTCTTATACTCTGGACGTACCAATATCTCTCGTATTTATTCAGTTTGCAAGTCGTTTCATAGAGGAGAGCAACAGGACAAAAATGTTACGGCATATGTCATGGAGTTTAACAAGGTTTATGAGGAACTAAACTCTCTCCTTCCATTAACCGGCGATATCAAAGCAATGCAGAAGCAACGGGAACAAATTGCTGTTATGAGCTTCTTGACTGGGTTACGTCCAGAATTTGATGCCTTCAAGAATCAACTTCTTTCCGAATCAGCCATTCCTTCTCTCCAAGAGACATTTTCCCGATTTCTTCGTACCGAGGAAATGCAATCTCCCGCTTTCGGCACTCACGTCTCTCAACATAGTGCCATGGTCAGTCGTGGAGGCTCGCAAGGTAGTTTTCGTGGCGGATCTCGACGAGGCTCTCGAGGGGGATCTCGGGGTGGTACTCGAGGAGGTCCGACAAATCGTGGATCTCGTAATCCCGAATCTGACGACGTGGAGTGTTATTATTGTCATGAATTTGGGCACACTAAGTATTCATGTCCTCAGTTAGAGAAGAAGAATCAGAAGGGCCCCTCTGCTCATGTTGCATCATCGTCTGACATGGTCACTATTTCTGCTGAGGAGTATTCTCGACTTACTGCAACAGAGAGACCTTCTTCATCCGCTGCTGTCTTTGCTGACACAGGTAATTCTGGTACATGCCTCATATCTAAAGGCACCAGATGGGTCGTTGATTCAGGTGCATCAGATCATATGACAGGTAACCCAAACCTTTTTTCCACCCTTGACCCCCATACACCTTCTTCTCATGTCACTATTGCTGACGGGTCTACTACTCGTGTCCTTGGTTCTGGTTCAGTTAATCTTACTCCTTCTATCTCGTTACACTCTGTACTAAGCTTGCCAAACTTTGCTTTTAACCTACTTTCTGTTAGCAAACTTACAAAATCATTGAATTGTAGCGTCTCATTCTTTCTAAACCATTTTATTGTGCAGGATCTTTCAACGAAGCAGATCCTTGGTCAAGGACATGAATCTGATGGCCTCTATGTTTTCGACTCTCCCACATCTAAGTCACTTGTTTGCACCTCCTCCGCACTAGATACGCATTGTCGTCTTGGTCATCCTTCCCTCCAAAGTTTAAAAAGATTGGATCCTCAGTTTTCAAGGTTGTCATCCTTATTTTGTGAGTCTTGTCAGTTTGCTAAACATTGTCGTAGTTCTTTATCGCCTAGAATAAACACCAGGGCTGCGACCCCATTTAGGTTGGTTCATTCTGATGTATGGGGTCCTTGTTCTCTGTCATCAAAATCTGGTTTTAGATATTTTGTTACTTTTATTGATGATTTTTCTCGTGTCACTTGGATATACTTTATGAAAAGTCGTTCTGAGGTTTTTCAACATTTTTTGTCCTTTAGTGCCGAAATTAAAACTCAATTTCTTGCTACCATTCAAACACTTCGAAGTGATAATGCGAAAGAGTTTTTGTCTGCACCTTTTCAGTCTTATATGCTGGAAAATGGGATTTTGCATGAAACGTCGTGTGTTGATACACCAGCTCAAAATGGGATTGCTGAACGTAAAAATCGGCACCTCCTCGAGGTTGCTCGAGCATTGCTCTTTCACATGCATGTTCCTAAAACTTTTTAGGTTGATGTTGTGTCCACTGCTTGCTTTTTAATCAATCGAATGCCCTCGGTTGTATTGGGTAATTCAATTCCATTTTCAGTTCTTTTCCCAAATAAACCTATTTTTCCTTTACCGCTTAAAATTTTTGGGTGCACTTGTTTTGTCCGGGATACACGACCTCATACCACTAAGTTAGACCCTAAGTCTCTCAAATGTATTTTTCTTGGGTATTCCAGGGTGCAGAAAGGGTATTGGTGTTTCTCTCCTGTCCTTGGTCGGTATGTCGTGTCTAGGGATGTTAGTTTTAATGAACACCTTCCATTTTTTCCTACTCGAGAGCTTCCACCTCCAGATGAAGACGACTTCTTGGTATATTCTGTTACTCTCACTAGGCCTCCTTCCCCTCTGCCTCAGAGAACTCGGCCACCCATTACACAGACATATACTCGACGCTCTCAATCACATCGCGAGGTCATCATAGATTCTGATTCACGCCCTTTGCCTGCTGCTCCGGTGGAAGACCCTGTCCCCGAACCAAATAACCCTAATGACCTTCCTGTTGCGCTTCGAAAAGGTAAAAGATCTTGTACTTACCCTATTGCTTTTGTTGTGTCTTATGACAGCCTGTCTGCTTCTTCCAGTTCTTTTATTGCCAAGCTAGACTTTATTTCTATTCCTACATCTGTTGGCACTGCTTTGGCCCATCCTGGATGGCGTGCTGCTATGATTGAGGAAATGAATGCCCTTGATCATAATGGCACATGGTCTTTAGTGGACTTACCTGTTGGCAAAAAGGCAATTGGATGTAAGTGGGTATTTACTGTTAAAGTTAACCCTGATGGCTCTTTGGCACGTCTTAAAGCTCGGCTTGTAGCTAAAGGTTATGCTCAGACTTATGACACCGATTACTCTGAGACTTTCTCTCCTGTGGCTAAACTTACCTCTGTCCGGTTGCTCATCTCTTTTGCTGCCTCTTCTGACTGGCCTCTGCACCAACTTGATATTAAGAATGCGTTTCTCCATGGCTTTCTTCAGGAAGAGGTTTATATGGAGCAACCACCTGGTTTTGTTGCTCAGAGGGAGTATGGGAAGGTATGTCGTCTTCATAAGTCTTTATATGGGTTAAAGCAAAGTCCCCGAGCTTGGTTTGACAGATTTAGCCAGATTGTTTTGAAATATGGGTTGGTGAGATGTAAATCCGATCACTCGGTATTCTATAGGCGATCAAGTCTTGGGATCATTTATTTGGTTGTGTATGTCGATGATATTGTTATTACAGGGAATGATGACGATGGAATTTCAAACCTAAAATCATTCCTCCATGAGAATTTCCAAACAAAGGACTTGGGACACTTGAAATACTTTCTGGGAGTAGAGATAATGAGAAGTAAGAGAGGGATTTTCCTTTGTCAGAGGAAGTATGTGCTAGATCTTCTTAAAGAAACTGGAAAAGTTGGGGCAAAACCATGCAGCACTCCGATGACACCAAACATGCAGTTAGGAAAGGATGATGGTGAGCCATTTCATGATCCAGAACGATATCGAAGACTTGTAGGAAAGCTAAACTATCTCACCGTAACACGCCCTGACATATCCTTTGTTGTTGGTGTAGCAAGTCGATTTATGTCTTCTCCGACCGTTAGTCACTGGGCACTTCTTGAACAAATTTTGTGTTACTTGAAGGGGGCTCCTGGACGGGGATTGTTCTATGGGCGACAAAGTTATCAAAAGGCTGAGGCAGTAGAAGCATATTGTGATGCCGACTATGCAGGTTGCAAAGATGATAGAAGATCGACTTCTGGATATTGTATATTTGTGGGAGGCAATCTAGTTTCGTGGAGAAGCAAGAAGCAAAATGTTGTGTCTCGTTCAGTTGCCGAAGCAGAGTATAGGTCGATGGCTGATTCAGTATGTGAGGTTGTATGGATACATCAGTTACTTAAGGAGCTTGGATTAGAATTTGCTCTCCCAGCAACACTTTGGTGTGACAACCAAGCAGCAAGCCACATTGCATCAAATCCTGTATTTCATGAACGAACCAAACACATCGAGATAGATTGCCACTTTGTTCGTGATAAGGTCGAAGAAGGTTTCGTCACTACAAGATATATCAAGTCTGAGGATCAATTAGGGGACATATTTACAAAAGCAGTGAATGGTGTAAGAATGAAAAACATTTGTAACAAGCTGGGCATAATCGATATATATGCTCCAGCTTGAAAGGGAGTGTTATCGTAAATATGGTATAGATTAGATTGTATCAATTAGGTGATATGGTGAATCCCTTAGATTAGGTGTTTTGATTTCTTTCCTTTCTTACATCTCCTTTGGCTTGTATATATATGTTGTAATCCTCATTGAGTAATATATCAATTCAAGCTTAATAGAATTACATATACTATACTAATATGTGCAGGTTCCTGTATATGTGTTTCTTAGGGCTAATCAGAATAAGAATACTACATAATGTAAAAATGTTTGGCTCTCGTTTGACCATTTGATATTACAGTAATATGCAGGACGGATTTGAGTTGCCAACTCGCCTTGCAGTTGCTGCTGCAGATTTTGTGTTATCTCTTACAGTAGCATTGACTGAAAAGAATCTTCCATCCAATAAGTTAACAAAAAATAAAATATCATCTTCGATTAATGTTAAAAATCAGACTCTTAATTTTTTATCGGGTTCGACTAGTGATGGAGATGAGAATACTTCGAGGAATGCATCTGAACTGTCATCCACCATGGAATTGAAATTCCTTCTTTGGAATAAACTCAATGATCTTATAACTCTCGTGAAGAAGCTTACAGCGGTATGTTCTTTACTTTCTTACCAATTGTTCGTGAAGATTTTGCTTATATTTTCTGCTTTATTCTCTATACTAGCCTTTATCATGTTATTTGGTGTTTCTGTCCATACTTGATTATTCCAAATATGCAGTGGAGCAGAAAAAGCCGTTCTTTGCATGCAAAAGGATTGGAAAGGGTGTTGAAGTGGCTGCATGAAATTAAAAACCGTTGTGGTGGCTTTCAAGATGAGGCAGGTCTCTCTGATACCAGAAGTTCAAAATAATTTCTCTATGCTCTTTTGCTCAACCTTCAATTTTTCTGAAAGACAGAACCGCATATGATGAAGGCTGGTTCTTTGCTTTTGTGTTCTTGTTGGAAACATTATGGCATGCTCATGCATATAGAAGACCACAAGTTTTATCAGCAACATAAAGAACTGCTCAGCCAGTATTTGTCCGGTATTCAGGTAGCATTTCTTTGTTTGGACAGTTTGTTTACATAGTTAATATTGAGACGAAGAATGTCTCAATCTTGTGATAAGTGTAAAAGTTATATAGGCCCAGCCCTTGTACGAAAGGTCCATATGCTAGCTATATATATATGGCATCTCCATCTGTGAAGAAATCATCTATCCAA